TATAGTGAGAGGATGTGAGCTATGATTAAAAAAAAAAAAAAAAAAAAAAGGGGGGGGGGGGAACCTATGTATAGGATTTCATCAGCTTTGTTAGAGTATTGAAAGGCAAAATTATTTGCATGAAAATAAAAACTGTTTCAAAGGGGTGGACATGATATCAAAAAAACTTTTTGTTAAAAATTAGCTCCTGATGATTCCAGCAAGCGGATAGTCCAGTTGTAGTCAGTGGCACTATTTTTGTAAGTAAGACTATATTTAAGTATTGTTAGGCTCAGGACTCTGATTTTTCAGTCTTCTATTTTTTAGCTCTAGCATTGTTTCCAAATAGGATTCTGAACCATGAATGGCATTAGGAAAAGGCCAGTGTAAGTCAGTTAATTTTAAATTTTAATCTAAAATTGAAGAGCAGTTATTAAATTACCACATTTTCTCAAATATAACATGCACCTTTTTCCCAAAAAACAGCTGCTGGAAATTAGGGTGCATGGAAATTTAGTAATAGGAGCTTCTACTGCACAAGCTCAACTCGGGAAACGGAGGGGGATAAGAGAAAGTAATGCTGCATGTGCTGCACAAGGGGTTCCCTACCTGCTGGCTATGGTTGCTTTCTCTTTCCCCTAGCACAGGCTTATGCAGGAAAAGCTGACAGACTGCTGTGTGTTCACCCAGCTCAGCTCAAAAAAAAGAAGAGGCTTTGGGCATTTTTTGGCTTGGCAAGCAGCAGTACCTGCAGTGTCCTACAGCAAGGGGGTTAACAGAGCAGCCCCACAGTGTTTTGCGACTTCCCAACTGTAGTTGCTCATGTTTTCCTTGGGGAAAATACCATATTTATCAGTATTTTTAAGTAAATACCTTTTTGTCTTCATTCTGCTTTCAAAAACAAAGTGCATACTTTATTCAGGGGCATGTTGAATGTGAGAAAATATGGTAGTTTTACAACTAATCACCCTGGCTAAATGGACTTTAAATCATTCCATTTACTAACAAGAAAAATTATTAGTATCACCTTGATTTTAAATTGTTCCATCCTGTGAAGTGTTTTTCCATGAGAGCCATGCTCTGACCACCTAAGAGCCTGTTTTTAAAGGAGAAAAAAATCAGAACGGCCTTGCCTTGTGTCAAATATTGAGTCTGTTTTCCAGATGAATATTGTAGTTAATGTATTCCCAATGTGACCGATTCCTTATGCTGGGTGGCCAAATTCATCTATTACTCACTCACTCTTTGGATAGGTATTCTAATCATATAAGTCAACGTGTTATTTCTAAGCAGTTTGAGTACTTTAACTTGATTTTTTTCAGGAGACTTAATTTCAGTGTCATTGTTTTGTTAAATTGTGCCTGGATTTAATTGAATGCTACTTTTTTTTTTTTTTTTTAAGGAATGAACTGTGAGAATAATTTTGATGACTGTGCAAATAAACCCTGCGTTCATGGGACCTGTATAGATGGCATTAACCACTACAGTTGCATCTGCAACCCAGGAGTTACCGGTAAATCTTTCAATTGTCTTTAGTTTTGTTGTGAAGATTTTTGTTCCTGGATTTGATAGGCAGTGGTCCATTTGGTGGGTGTTCTTAGTGAATTTAATCTTAAATTTAATATTTTTTTGCCAGTGAACTAAAGAAATGTCATTCCTTTTGCCGTGAAGTGTCATTCTTACCATATAATTACTGTATTTACCTGAATCCAAGACAAAGGTCTTTTTCCCCATTTAATGTGTGTGCGGGGAAGAAGCCCTAGTCTTGGATTTGAATAAGAGGCAGAGGGGGCACAGGTGGATGCTGCAGCTCCAGCTTGGGGCCCCAGCCCAGGGTCTTGATTAGTCGGAGCTGCTGCCTGCCCCCCCTGCCGCCTCTGCCTGCCACCACTGCTTGCCCTCTAACTCTGGCAAGGCTCTGGCCCTGCTTTAGCCTGGGCCCCAGGGTCAGGCCGGAGCTGCCAACACCGACAGTACTTGGGAAGTGCATGTGCCCCCCCCAGTGTGGGGAGGGTGAGTTGGGCAGATGCTGCGGGGGACCAGGTACTGTGGTGGGGGGGAAAGTGGTGAGGGGGATGGGGAGCAAGTTTTGTGGGGCAGAGGTCAGGCCACTAGGCTCCCCTACTGACTGGCCTCCTTTCCCACCCTCCCCCGAACACTATGCCCCACTGCCACTCCTTTCCCTGTTGCAGCGGTGGAAGGAACAAATTTTAGATGACTCTCCAAAAATTAGATTCTGTACTTGGAAAATTATAACCAGTTTATACATTTTTCCATGTATAGGAATCTAATTATTTGGTTGGAGAAGTCATTTTAAATTCATAGTTGTCTTGCATTCAGGTCAGGATGTTAAGTCCAATCTTGAATCCATTCTTTGCAGCTTCACAAGAAATAGTAACTCAAAAAATCTCAGTGGATTTATTTACAGTTTATTTGTTGAACAAGAAGACTGACTACATCATGGTGAGGGGTTTTGATTAAATAGGGTTAGGGAATTTGGCCAGTTCTGTCTACAAAGTAAAATGTATTAATGTGCAAATGCAAATCATTCATTCAGTGTTATAGCATGTGCTAAGCTGCTGTTCAGCCTTATTATCACAAGGGCTTCACTATTTTCTACTCAGCCAGCGTACTGTTACACAGATGTTTACGTTCGATGAAACGAAAATTGTTTCGATGAAATGAATATTGTGAAAATTGTTCTGTTCTTATTAGAATCATAAGGGTTTGTATCCTGCAAGTATTAAACATAACTCTTCAATGGTCTATAATTTTTTTAAGCTGTATTAAGTATCACAGTAGATCAGCCCTAGACCTGCTCCTAGCATTTTAGGACCTTTTGTCAAAGAAGGCTGACGTGTGTGGTATGTTCTGTAAGTTGTATTGCATAATATGTTCATAAAATAATTGCAGGTGAAGCAATATGCTTGATACCTAGTTATGATATGATTTATTTTTACCATCATTAACTGAATGATTCCAGTTGGAAGTGTTCCATTTTTTTCTCTCACAATTTCCACCATAGGAGATTTTGCATATTTTATGCATTTCTATGGGCATCTTTGTGAACTTCCAACTAAAAGAAGGAAATTCCCTTTCTTGAAATTACAAACACATCCCAGTTCAACAAAATGGAGATCAAGGCATGGGCCTGACCACTCTTTCTTTGGGTCTCCCTTACTTTTGGGGCGCTTGATTGCCATTCAGTTAAATTCCTGCGTTTCTCTGAGAGAGGTGTGATTTTTTTTTTTTTTTAATACATCAAAGTGTTTGTCTTCGGCTCAGCCACTTGTCTGCAGCCTTACTTCTTGACTTGGATACATTCCTTTTCAAGCATGGAATGCCTTTTAATCTGTAGTAGTACCACAGCTATGGGAAGCCCTTTCTAGACTGTCAAGCATGTACCTTAAGGAACAGACAAAGGTTATGGGAACTGGGAAGTTGGATGGAGTTTTATGGAATTATTAAATACAAGTTTTGTTGCAATGTTTTCACATTTTCAAAAAGTGTATTAGATACAGGTGGTCTGCTTTTATGCCCCCAGCTTACAAAAATGCTAAATGGATTCAAATCCTGTTGATTTTTAAAACAGATAAAATTGTGATAACTTTCAGAATTGATCTCTTTATGCTGACTTGGCATTGACAGGCATCAAGATGCAGGGACTCGGTGTTCCTGCATGCATGCTGAGTACATCTATATAAGAAATAATTAACAAGTGATATTCTGTTTAGGTCCAAGATGTAATACTGATATTGATGAATGTATCTCCAGTCCCTGTCACAATGGTGGAACATGTGTCAATGAAATTAATGGATTTCGGTGTATATGTCCTGAAGGCTACCATCACCCCACCTGTCACTCACAGACAGATGAATGTCTTAATAACCCTTGTGTGCATGGCAACTGCACACATGACGTCAACGGGTGAGTTCTACATCATGTTAAGTACTTTGAGGTTTTTTGCAAAAA